GGCGGGTCTCGAACCCGTGGGCTCAGGCAATCCACTCACCTCAGCCTCCTAAAGGCGCAGGATTACAGGCTGAGCCACTGAGCCCGGCTTAATTTTTTTTTTTTAAGATTAGTCAAGTAACTAGGTACAGTGGTTTACACCTGTAATCCCAGCACTTTGGGAAGCTGAGACCGGGCTGCTTGAACCAAGAATTCAAGACTAGCATCTCTACACACACACAAATAAATTAGGCAGGTGTGGTTGTATGGACCTATAGTCCCAGCTACTTCGGAGGCCAAGGCAGGAGAAGTGCCTGAGCCCAGGAGGTCGAGGCTGTGGTGAGCCATGATTGTGCCACTGCACTCGGGTCTGAGTGACAGAGTGACTCTGGCTCAAAATAACAACAAAAAAAAAAAAAAGGAGAAAAGACTACAAGGAGCTTGATTTGTAACTGACTTAACAATCAACAGAGAGAACTCACTGCCGTTGGCCCAGCTGCGCCCTCAAGTTTAGACCTCAGTTTGAATTTCAGGTGTTTTCTCAGGTGATGATTCTCAATTAGGATTCTGAGGGGCTCTGGGAATCCTTTTATGTTCTCAGGAGTCTGAGTTCCTGAATTTATGAAGCTTCTTCAGTAGCAAATTATTATCACAAAAGCCCACTGTGCCTGGCCACCACAAAAGCAATTATATTTTCATGTTGAGTGTTATGTAACAATAGATAAGTGAGGCCTACAGAGTCATGGGGGCGGAGGGGGATGATTATTCTAAAGTTTCAGAAAACCTGAAATAGAGCTTTCATTTCCCATGACTCAACCTGCCCTCTTCTTCTGACTCCTGTTCCCACGTGCTTGGTTTCAGAATGGGCAATCCTAATAAAGATGAGTCCTGAAAAGACAGTGCATCCATAAAATATGGCCTGCAGTCAGAGTCTAATAATGATCCCAGGCTTGTGTAGCTGGTGCTGGTAACAGAGCAGTTGGCAGCTCTGTGCAGAAAATAGGCCAAATTTTGTAAAATTTAATTTTGTAACATTATTATTACCTGTTATCTAGAATAGAACAGCTATAATAGATACCAAAGATTAAAAATTAAAGACAGGCTTAAGAAATTTTTTTTTTGAGTTGGAGTCTCACTCCGTCTCCCAGACTGGAGTGCAGTGGCCTCTCCCAGCCACTGCAGCCTCGACTCGCTGGACTCCAGCGATCCTTCCGCCTCAGCCTTCCGAGTAGCTGGAATTACAGGCACGCACTACTACGCCCGGCTGATTTTTTGATTTATTGTAGAGATGAGATCTCGCCAAAGTTGCCCAGGTGGGTCTCAAACCCGTGGGCTCAGGCAATCCACTCACCTCGGCCTCCCAAAGCGTGGGATTACAGCCTGAGCCACCAAGCCTGGCTGGCTTAAGAAATTTAACACTGGCTTGGCATGGTGGCTCATGCCTATCATCCTAGTACTTTGGGAGGCCGAGGTGAGAGGATTGCCTGAGCCTTTGTGCTCGAGACCAGCCTGGGTAACTTGGTGAGATCTCATCTTTACAATAAATCAAAAAATTAGCTGGGCATGGGGGTGCATGCCTGTAGTTCTAGCTACTTGGAAGGCTGAGATGGAAGGATTGCCTGAGCCCAGCAGGTCAAGGCTGCGGTGGCCCTGAGCGTGCCACTGCACTCCAGCCTGAGTGACAGAGTGAGACTCCAACTCAAAAAAAGGAAATTGAACACTAACTTTTTTTTGCAGTTATTAAGAAACATATAATAGTGGCACCTTGACCTAGTCTTGAACCCCGAAGTTCTTGTAGGAGTAGACATTGAACTCCTGCAGTCAGTTGTCTTGCTGCTTTTGAGCAACCATATTCTAGCTGAATTCCCAGGCTAAGTGTCTGACCTGTCTCTGGGATAAAATTTTTTTAGGCCTTCCAGTGATTTGCAAGAGTGGGTTTACCTTCCTTAATTATTAATTAGTAGGGTCATTTTGGCTATTTATGACTTTTTCTATTTGTGGATGATGAGCACACAAGCTTTGGAGCTCTCACTCCAACACTAGTTACCAGGTGATCTTTTGCAAGTTACTTAACCTTCCTGAGCTTTAGTTTTCACTGCTATAAAATGAGAATAAAAGCTTTAGAGAGCTATTATGGGAATTAGCAATGTGATTTTGGGCAAGTTACTTAAGCTTTCTTTCTTTTTTGAGTTGGAGTCTGATCCTGTTGCCCAGGCTGGAGTGCAGTGGCATATTCATGGCCACTGGAGCCTTACTTGCTGGGCCCAGGTGATCCTTCCGCCTCAGCCTTCCAAGCAGCTGGAACTACAGGCTCACACCACCACGCCTAACTTTTTGATTTACTGCAGAGATGAGGTCTTGCCAAGTTGCCCAGACTGGTCTCAAACCCCTGCACTCAGACAGCTCTCTTGCTCTGCCTCACAAAGTGCTGTGTTTACAGGCATGAACCACTGCAGCTGGCTACTTAAATTTTCTTTTGCTTCAATTTCCTCGTCTATAAAACTGGGTTTAAGTGTCTACCAAAAAGGGCTGTTGTGAGGATTAATAAACAGATACATGGAAACTGTATGATATAAATGGTCTAACACATAATGACCTGAAAAATGTGGGCTGAAGTTATTATTGCCAGCCTCAGAAGTTGTTAATGAGAACTAAATGAGATGATGCATATGTGAGCAAAGGATGGAGGTGTAGAATAGCATGGCATATTTAAGACACAGCTGGACATTTGGTGTGGGTGATCATGGTGCTATTTGGTTAGGTTGGGTTCAGACTAGAAAGATCCTAGTACTGAACAAATAATTTTATGCAGTGGTCAACACCAGTGAGTGTGTTCATGTAGGGCCCAGGATGTTGATGAAGTGGTTTCAGAAAGATCCCCTTGGAAACAAGACGGAGAAGTTCCTGCAAGATAAATGGGGGGCAGGAAAGAGAAAAAGCAAGCTCACCAGTCCACAGTTAGGAAAAGTTTTTTCCATTTAATACTAGACTTTCAAGGATTGAGATGCAAGCTTTTTATGCAATTACATCCAATGTTAAAATTGGTAATACATAATTTACAAAGATTAACATCAAAACAATCATCTATTTAGATATGCTTTTGTAAAAAGGAAATATATTAGCAGCATTTATATTTTCCGCAATCACACAGCCTACAGACATGCAGACTAATTCTGTATCTATTTGCAGTGATGTAGTGCTTTGCCCCGCATTTCAAACACCAAAACCCGCCTGGCAGCTGGGGGGTTCTTTTTATTTCATTATTATAAAATAACTGAAAAATAAAAAAAGGCATTAATTTCTACACCAGTAAGAAAAAACAAGTTTTTGCACTTACCTAACATTTGATTGTCTAAAAAACATTTCAGTTTTTAGTCTTTCAACAAAAGAAAGATAAAATGACAGAGCGTAGTGTCTTTTGCTTCTGTTCTCGCATTTTTACAAAGTTTTTTTTTCTTTTTAATCTTTTTTAAAATTTTAGTGTTTAACACTATAAAGGAAACATTGAATTTTAATC